GGAAATGAGGAATGAAAAAATGTGTGTGATTTTTTTCAATGGTTAAATAAACTACTGGGTGGTAATATTTTTTATTCGATAAGATTTAAGAGAGCTGCAGAATATATGATATTTGTAAATTTTTTTGTTTATTATTTTTTAGGCTATACCAATAGCTATGGATTTTTTAATTTTTTTTTTTCGAAAGCTACCAACAGCCGTGAATTTTTTAGAATATTTGTAGAGCTATATTTTTTTCAAAACCCATTTTTTCATCAAAGACGTGGGTCTATCAACAGGCGTGGATATTTAAAAAAATTTTTCAGGAGCTACAACAGATGTGGATGTTTAAAAATATTTTTTCAGGGGTTATCAACAGGCGTGGATATTTAAAAATATTTTTCAGGGTCAAATTCAGGTTTTCATTTAAAAAATATTTTTAGAGTCAAATACAGGTTTTCAGGGTCTTATAACAGGTTTGCATATTTTAAAAATATTTTTTTAGAGTCAATTTCAGGATCTAGTAAAAGGTGTGGATTATATTAAAAAATCTGGGTCTATAACGGTACCACCTATCTGGGTCTATAACGGTACCATCTGGGTCTATAACGGTACCAGAGTGTCTGTATTGAGGTATTTCGTTTTACCAAATCATATCCTCCATGTAAAAGTTCCGATAAATTTTAGTTATTTTGAATGTCCACCTTATGGAGGGTATAAAAAGATGAACTTTCCTGCAGTTTTCTGTGGAAATCATTTATGTATGTAATTTTAAGCCACTTATGTGCTCAACATATGTATGTAAATCTCATGAAAATTACCTCAAAACAAAAGTAAATCTTAAGGTTTATTTTCATCCGTTGGACAGCCGTACCATGAACTTGAAAAATAGTGTAGTACAAACGAAAGGAAAGAAGGAAAAATACCGTTGGCGGTAATTTGATACTCGCCAGACTCGATGATGCTGTCGCTGCTGTTGGTGATGATGTTGGCAGTAAAAGTGGCACCAATCTGAGACCACATAACACCCTCAGCTTGTAATGATGCAACACATTGCAAACAAAACGAGAATAACAACAAATAAATGGACAATTGAAAGTATCAAGTGCAATGGTAAATGATGCATGGCGGGATAGCTGGCTAGCAGGGCATCACATTCACTTGAATACGTTTTAACAACTACAACAATTTGCACCACAACTCCGTGGTTCAACCGTTATAATTGTTGCTAACAATTGTTGGATGTTGTTGCTGTTGTTCTTTGTTGTTGTTCCTTACAAAGAATCATGAAAATATTTTAAATATTTTGTAATGGTAACAACTATACCATCGCTAAGTCACACCACCACCTACCTAGGCCGACGCCATTAACTTCCAGTAATCGAGGCATGGTAATTTTCTTATTCATCATGTGGCGGCCATGGTTGTTGTTGTTTGTGTTATGTTGCATCATCTAACTAACTATGTTAGCAAACACACAAAGAAGAAAAAGAAGGAAGAATAAACATTAGCCTTAACACTGATGGTCGATCTTGGCTCGATGTACTTTTCCTCTTTTCTTCTTCTTTATCTTCATGGTGGTGTTATATCTCTTTCAGTTTTAATGTTTAACTTTCGTTTATATGGCCAGAAGTAGGAAAAGTGATATCATGCTGGGTAATTTTGTTGTTGTTTCGAAGTTTCCTCAAGAGAATAAAGGTAACAATACCAACAACAGCTAATATCAAAGTTTGTTTGTTTTAAGTTTTCTTGTGATGACTAGAAAACATACAACAACACCAACAAACCACTCTCTTATGTCACACTCTTCATGTAAGTATTAAATTTAAGATGGTTTCTCCACGGCTGACTGGTGGCTGGCTAGCAGGAAAAGAGGAAGACTTTCAGATCTTTATAATGGTTCACTTTCAACTATAGTCTTTCCTGGTTCTAGCAACGATGATGATGATGCCCTAGGGTAGTAGAGTGCAGAAAATTACATTATACATGGCCAAGATTTAATAAAAAATTTAATAGGGAAGGTAACCTAAAAGGTGTACTTGAAGGTACCCTCAAAAACTTCAAAATCCTTTCAGGGCTAAAATTAATTAAAAGTGAAGAAATCGGAATATTTCCAATGGTTTAATTATATTATTGACTTATTTTCGTTTGCTATCCTTCCCCAATCATTTCCCCCCAGCATCCTAGAACAAATTCTCTAACATGTTGATGGCGCCACAAAACGTTTACTTTGATTTTATTTTTTATTACCCTCTTCCTATGGTTTCTCGCTGTTTCCCTAAAAAACAAGAGTATATCCTCTAGCTGGGGCGAGTTCAAAGTTTTCCCAAAAAAGCTGTAACAAATCAACGTGAAATTTTTACATCAAATGCCAGACGACTAAAACGGCTATAAATTTCAACATGAAAACCATGAAGAGTACTTTCTCTAGAATAGAAAAAACAGAAATGAAAACACGAGAACATATCTAATGGAAGTAATAGAAAACAAGCCTGTATATTTTCATATTTTTTCAAGAAACAAGCATATGATGTCATTGGGAAAAATTCTGGCCTTATAGGACTTTATTTAATATGCTTCGTAATGTCCAATTTGCACAGTTTTTTTTTTGTATGATTTGTTGCCATTTTAAAGATCACTTCATAAAACCACTCTCACATAAGTCCTGCTCTCTACTTGCAAAAAATTCTAGTAGTCAATTTTTACAATCCTCACTAGATACCAATTTTTATAATTAAAGACATTTTTCAATGCAAGAAAAAGATGATAATTGCTTGATGCCAAGTACGGACTGTATAGCGGAATCATTAATACTTCCCAACCAAGCTCCCGAAGTTTCTGGTGGATCTCTGTAGATGTGGCCTAGCGTTGCCCTGGTGGAATACGTTTAAAACAGTTTTATGGTCGATTTTTAGCTTCTGTTACGACTGCTAACATGCCAGTCAACTTCGATCATTTCTCCGATTTTATCGACATTTTCGACGACCGGCCTACCTTTGCGAGGTGCATCTTTAACATTAAAAATTCCTGAACGGAATCTACGAAACCAAAATTGCACATTGCTGTTATTGTATTGGAACCATAAACATCGTTCATAAAATGTACCGATTTTTCTCTTACTTTACTTCTATTTTAACACCCTGTAACTCACAACTGAATGCACCAAAGAAAACCCGGTTCTGGCAGAAGACGACCCCTATTGTTTCTCGTAATAATGGGTTAATATTTAAGGGGACGAAATGAAGCAAACACTTTATTTTTGTCTGTTTTCTGGTCGCTCTAGATGCCACAATTAAGACCCGAACACCACGCAATTGTACACCAGGAAGGGAATCTAGCCAAGGAATAAGCATGACTGTTTTTATGAAGATCGGTCAAGATTAAGTGGGCCAAGTGGACCCAGTTTTTGTGTGAAAAATTACAAAATGTACATTACATGGCGTATATATTTTCTCCCGAAGAACATAGACCGGAGAAGTTGCGAATATATCCAAGAGGGGTGGTTGATCTTTAAATTGATACTAATTATAGTGTTGTATCTACTCGGATATGGAAGTTATATTTAAATATTTGCATGTGTTCTGATATTATTTATTAACCCATTATCATACTAGAAGGCGAAAATATAGCGCTGGACCGATAAAAATTATTTTTTGTCAGGTTTTCTAATCTGTCTAGAGGACATAATTACAAGCCGAACATCACAAATTTTACACAGAGAAGGGGATTTGGGCTACTATTAATCGAAAATGGCTGATAATTGATAATGATCGGTTAATATTTTTGAAGTGTATGTACAATATGAATATTAGATCGAAAAATGCCCAGACTCGGAATATAGATCCGCAGAAAGTTAAACTCTTGGTAGTTGTGTAGGTTTGCATAGGGTCGGTCGGTCTGTCCTACTATTATTTAGCTGGATTGAGATAGAACATTTGTTTCGTAAGTCGAGCTTATTTCCAGACGCGTCGGTCTTGTGCACATCTCCAATTCGAAATATATTCTTCCACTTGATCCTTCCATCGAATTCCTGACCTTCCCCTTCCCATCAGTTTGCTCGCTTTTATATGCCTTCTGAGCTGGGGCATCCTCATCCATTCTCACATCATGACTTAGCTAGATATGTATGACTATGTCGAATTCCGAGAATAGATGGTACAAGTCGTGGTTCATTCAAAGGCGATATTCACCGTCGACGCAGATCGTGTCATAGATCTTTAGGGGAATTTTTCTCTCAAACATTCCAAAAGCTGCCTCATCTATTGCGCAAGTTACTATGCTTCAAGCGTCTTGTAGAGTGTGAGTTTGGTCTGGCGAGAGGTGGCCTTGCTTTTGGTTTTAAGTTCAACAATTACTAAGCCATGATTTTAAAATATATTTTTACAAACATATTTTCAGTGTGTTTTTTATATTATTTAAAAATTGTGTTTTCAATTTAAAAATGACGTCCAGTTTTCAAGATTGTTAAAGAGGGGGTTCTCAATTTCGGAATCGATCTGAGTACAATTTTTAAACCATTTTGGAAGGTATCTGAAGAAATAGACTGCATTTCCGTAAGTAATCTGGGTTTGGTAAACATATTATTTGAGTCGTTTATTTTGAAAGTGGTTTAAGTCCATTTTTTCATGTTATTTAAAAAAAATTAACAATGTTGACGCTCTATGGAAGGTTTACGACAAAAAGTGGACCGAGAAATCTAATTTTCGGATTTATAGAATGGTTAACTAACATATTCGTATTCGTTTTATATGATATTTAAAATTTTTCAAAATATTGACCCTTTGTGGGTACCTGAAGAAGAGGACCGGACTAATAATCCCCACCTTCGAATATCATTTGTGTGTGATGTACCACAAGGAGTGATCTCATATTCTGCCAGCCAGCCAAATATTTCAGCCTTATGGAACAATTTTCTTCACAAAATAGTTAACGGAGGGACATTTCTAAATCGGCATACAAATTTATTTTTTATCAAGAATATAGCGTTCTCCGTATTGATGAGTTTATTATTTCAGACTTACCGCCTAATGGAAATAATATATTTTTGTATAGTATTTAGATCGGTTATCATACCTGAAAATATAACAAAAAGTAAATGTAATTAGTTTTATTGTATTTAAAATATTTATAAATATAACTTATATTAAATTTTTTTTAATGTCCATGACATTTTCAATATTTGCAATTAATAATAATTTATGTTTAAACTTTGTTTGAAATGTTGTGTTCTAAAAATATAAATATATCCAATAAATTAATTTTTCTTCCCAAATATTTATGATGTCGTCGACAGTTTTTTAATAGCAAAATGTTATTTCACAAACTGAAGACCACCAACATTCCAATTATTAGATTGGCGACTGAAAGTCACTCACAACACTCATCATACTCTGAGCTTTGTATGAGATAGAATATAAAAAATGTCCTACGCTTGACCATAAATAAATCCACTCGAGAATGTGCTATAACTATTCATGGCGATGGGCTGACTTGCCCTAATATATCTCAGCTGCTTTGTGGCTGCCACGCACATGGCACTTGATGTACTACTGCTACTATTGCTGCTATGCACCTTACCTTCGTCTGATGTACAACTAATATATCGAACTTGGTACAACAAAATGATGTAGCATCATCATGCAATATGTACTCTGGTACTGGTGATATGCTTTATGTATCCTGTCATATTTGTTTGAGCTAGTTTTTTTTTTATTTTCTTCTTTTCTATTTGTAAAACAAGTGATGGTCGAGGTTTCATAACTTCATGTACATACACATAACATTGTGAGCCACATAACCTAACCCTGTGTTTGATTTAGAAACCTTTAAGAAACTGTCATCAGCTGCCTGTTGGGTTAAGGTATTTTGTTGCTGGACTAGTGGTGTGGAGTCTTACTCTAGGATGCTACAAGACAATGTAATAAATTGTAGCCACTCCTGGTTGGCTGTTGATGTGTTGTTCATACCAGTGTTTACACTTGTAGTCTCTGGAGTGCGTAGAATAAACCTTTAAGTTTGTTGTTTTTTTTTTATTACTTTTTTGCTACGATTTTTCCTTTAGATTTTTCTTTAATTACCAAATATGTCATAACTAAAAAGGATTGTCATCCAGTCAATGCGTTGGTTTCTTCTTCTTATTTTGTTCTGAAATGGAAGTGACTAAAGTGGAGTAAAAAGCACTACTAGAAGAAGAACAGAACAATGCATGGTAGTGCTGAAAAAGCTGATTTTCACACACGCATATTTTGTTAGGATTTAATGGCATTGCGGTGCATGCTGCAGAAAATAAGGCAATATTAGAAAAACCATAACAAATTAATTAGGAATTGATGTGTGGAAATCTCTAAGGTAATAGCTAAGAAAAAAAAACTGGGTTATGTTAAGAACTCTAATGAAGGTACTATAGTTCCAATTAATTGTTTTATTATAGCAAATATTTTTTGTGTCTAACAATGGTCAAGCAACTGCAGTTGTGGCTGCCTGAAATGGTGATGTCAAGTTTTTTTTGCGCCCTGGCCTTTTGTTGAGATTATTTAAATTGTTTTTAATTGTAATTGGCACTTGAGGGAATGGACTGAAAAATGGAAGACATAAAAGAGGTACACGTTAGGTCGAAGTTTTTGTACCCTTCACTGTGTTGGGAAATAATAAAAAAAAATTCACTTTATAGAGCTTCAAAAATTTGAATTGATTTTGAATTTATTTTAATCTGATCTATATTAATTATGTATTTTTTTCTTTTCGTTTCAGGTATGTCCACCATTTCATTATGAGTCATTTCCATATACGTTCAATTGTAAGTCATAAATATTTATGTGTAGAATTAAAACAGTGTAAAAAAAGTGTCAGTCGGTGTTGCCGACATATATTAGGTTGGAAAGTCCTCCTCTCTATTCGCAAAAAAAATCTAGTCGATTTTCACAGTCTTCTCTAGATACCAATTTTTTATCATTAACCCTTTCAGTGTTTTTGTCATTCGACATTTAAAATTACTCTCTTCCTTTGCAATTTTTCGGTTATCCTATGTACCGTTACAATTGATGTCTTTGTTTTTGTTGAAAGACAGACAAAACTGTCCGAGGGTTAAAATAAGAATTGTTTTTTTTTTCTAAACTCTGTGCCTTCATATGATTTTAAGTACAAAATTTTAGATTTTTATTCCGACAACATTTTTTTTGTTGACACTGAAAGGGTTAAAGAAATTTTGCAATGCAAGAAAAATATGATAATCGCTTGGTGCCAAGTCCGGACTGTATTTCGGATGAATTAAAACTTCACTGTAGACGTGTGTGGCCTAGGATTGACCTGGTGGAACACGACACATTTGCTGTTGGCCAATTCTGGTCAATTGTAAATGGTTTGAAACAGTTTTATGGTCGATTTTTAACGGTTACGACTGCTAACATGCCGGTAAACGTCGATCTTTTCGACATTTTCGATGACCATCAAAACTTCCTAACGGAATCTACGAAACCAAAATTGCATATAATTGCCTGTTGCAGTATCGGAACCATAAACAATATTCACAATTTAAGCCGATTGGCTTGCTATTTCGCCTTTGTCAAAGAAAAACTGTAAAATTTACCGAATTTTCTCTTTTTGGTCACGTCCATTTTTAACACCCTATAACTCAGAACTGAATGAACCAAACTAAAAATAGCTAAATAATTTTGTTACTGCGAAATGTCACCCTCCCAACGAGCATAAATCTGAAATTGTTTGATCGATACTTTGTGATTTAATGGATTTATTTTTACATTTTTTTCCGGGAAATGAGAGGGCAGACAGGGCCCTACCATCGGACTTGCTCTAGGATTGGTACAGATAATAGATTGTGCAAAGTTTAGTTCCAATCGGACATTCCATTTGCCTGATATTTGTTTTATAAATATTAAAAAATGTTTACAATTTATGGGGGAGGTCCAGGCAGCACAAATGTTCGGCATAAACACACGTCACTCTAGACTCAATTTGGTACGCTGTACAAATTTTAGTCTCAATCGGATAATTACACTGTGTGGCAAATTTCAATTTTTTGATAATTACCGGGAAATTCCAACAGATTATGAAAGAGGGGCTAAAAAAGAAGATACGTGTACCGGCGTTTTGAAAGTTTACGTCAGGAGGTAACTTAAAAAGTCAAAATCCAACTTTTCAAGAATTTTGATAATTTTCGAATTATGATTTCTTGAAATCCTTGCATTTTAGGTATATAGTGTCTTCGGCAATATTACTGATAAAATATCGAGGAAAATTTTTGCATACAACTTCAACCGACTCATTGAAGGGGTCTTTTCAGTCCCCTTTTTCCAAGAGTGATTGAAAACTCATTCAAACGAAACTTTATGCCGAATATTTCTACAGAAATGTTCGGCATAAAGTTTTACTATAAATCTCAGAATAGACGAAAACTAAAAAATCAGCCTAAACGTCAAAAATCTTTAAAAAAAAAACAAAAACTCATTTTAGGGTTAATGTCGTACTTATTACTAGTTTTACCCATTTTTCCCACAAGATGACGTTTTAAGAGGATGGTATAAGGGACAAAAATATTATCCATAAATTTTTAGCATAAGTCACTGAACAAGAGAAATCTGTATATATAATGTATATACGGAATATATAGTCATAAGTCAAAGACATTTCCCAGTATATTTTTGTCCCTTATACCATCCTTCTTCTTCTTCGGTTTAATTAACCGATAAAACATGTATGAATTTGAATATTTGGAAAAGGAAAAAAAGGTTACCCTCTTCTTCTCGCCCCTCTTTCATAATCTGTTGTAATTTCCAAAAAAATTAAAATTATACACCTTTCTTTTATTTATTGTCCAAATTAAAATTATACACTTTTCTTTATTGAAATTATTTTCGTGTAATACAGTAGAGCATAATTGGATCTATATCGCCACCCTAAGGTCCTTTCTTACATCATTTAGCTATTTCCTATTTTAAAATACACTCTTTTCCCTTGCATTTGCATAAACTATGCCCATAAAAATGTTTTCACATTTCATAAATACAAAAGTAAATAAATAGTTTCCGTTTTTTGTTCCTATTACCTTTAAAAGGAAATGCAACATTTATTCTCATCGCCAACAACACAGAAATAATAATAAATCACTTTATGTAAAACAAAACAAAAATGCACATTCAATTTAACACGTTAGTAAACAATAAATAAAACAGTATCCTGTTTATTCTACAACAGGCCAAGTGGCCTTCTCTGCAACAGCACGAATAATCAATTGAAAATCTAAATAAATTGATTTTTAAAGTACGCACTGGGTTTTGCGATTCTTCGAAACGATTGTGAGGAAAAACTAGAGCGACAACTTTTACACCTTTTATATTTGAAGGAAGAGCCTCCAGTTGGAGGCAACAAATATCTATCTTCTAACAAAAGTAGCCAAAGTTAAGTTGCAATTTTATAGTTGCAATGATTCTTTAATGGATAGGCAGCTGCAATCAAGGTAATAAAATAAATTAATTCTTTTTTCCATCTCACAATAAAAGAAAAACATTGGTAAGTTTCCTCTTTTTTTGTTGAATTTTTTTTGTTTAGTTTCAACGCCTTCTTGTTAAAAATAGAATATTTTTACTGATATTTTAGGTAGGTATTTTGTGAGAAGTTGTAGTAGAAGGACTTATGTCTAAATGAAGGACAAACGACGTCATATATCAATGTATTTAGTGTTCTTGCAACACATTTTAATTGAGTTGTAAGCTAAAAATACCTTGCAACATTCCAAAACTGGATATGTAGTTTTGTTTTCGACATTGGTATTTTTGTTGTTGGCAAGGGAAGAAACACCAAAAAATTAACACAAAAGATTAATGTGTCAGTCAATAAGACAGCAAGTTTAAAAGGAGTGTTTTTGTTGTTGTTGGGCTTGCCTGTTAAAACTGTAAAAAATAAATATCATATTCGAAACCAAATAAATATGACGGAATACGATAAAGCTTAAAAATTAGTAAATATTCTTAAAATTTTGAAAACAATGGAAAATTATTATTATATTTAATATGAGGGTTGTACGACAGGTTAAGCATATAACTATTAATTTTTCAAGT